ATTGGAATGGAAGCTTAGAGGAGGTTAGACGGGTGAGAGGAAGTGCGACCTTGCTGTAATCCCGAATGAACCTCCTGTAAAAGTTAGCAAAGCCGAGGAACTTCTGTAGTTGATTTCGATTACAGGGAGGCGGCCATTCAGAGACAGGCTGGATCTTCTTTGGGTCTGCTTTGACTTGTCCAGTTTCAATTATGAAACCCAGAAAAGACACAGAACTGAGTGGAACTCACATTTCTCACTCTTCACAAACAGTTTGTTCTCCAGAAGCCTTTGCAGGACAAGATGGACATGTTGGCGATGTTCGGATGGGTCTCTGGAATAAATTAGAATATCGTCCAGGTACACAAAAACAAAGCAATTTAGAAAGTCCCGAAGGACATCATTTACCAGAGCTTGAAACACGGCAGGTGCGTTTGTGAGTCCAAATGGCATGACACAGTATTCAAAGTGCCCCAGAGGTGTGTTGAATGCAGTTTTCCATTCATCCCCTTCTCTGATGCGGACAAGATGGTATGCATTTCGTAAATCCAGTTTTGTGAAAATAGTGGCACCCTGCAATGGTTCAAAGGCAGAAGAGATGAGAGGGAAGGGATATTTGTTCTTAACAGTTATATTGATCAAACCTCTGTAATCAATACATGGACGTAAGGTCTGGTCTTTCTTGGCAACAAAGAAGAAACCGGCCCCCACAGGAGACGAAGATGGACGAATAATCCCGGCAGCTAGAGAGTCTCTGATGTACATCTCCATGGCCTCTCTTTCAGGTCGGGACAGGTTGTACAGGCGAGCAGGTGGAAGATGAGCTCCAGGAAGAAGGTCTATGGCACAGTCATAGGGCCTGTGTGGTGGTAAGGATAGTGCTTTCTCCTTACTGAAGACCTCCCCTAAGTCATGGTACTCTGGTGGAACTGAGGTTAAATCCGGAGTAGACATAGGTAGTTTGGATTTCGTCTCTTCTGACGGAGGGAGAGCTGACTGCAAACAAGACTGGTGACAAAATGAGCTCCAGCTGACAATTTTATTGAGAGACCAGTCTGTTACAGGATTATGAATCTTTAGCCAAGAGTAGCCCAAAACTAACTGAGTCAGAGGAGCAGAGAAAACAAAGAAACGTGTCTCTTCATGATGGTTGCAAGACAGAATTAAGTGGAGAGGAACAGTATGGTGAGTAATTTTAGCACTGAATGAGAAAATGACCACCTTGACCGCAGTACAAGCACTCGCCAGCTCGAATTCTCCGTGACCGCTCCTGAACAGTCAACTTGGCCCGGCCAATTTGCATAGGAACCTCTGGGGATAGAGGAGCGGGGGGCAGAGCAGGAACATTACCGACAGTCTGAATTCGGGCTGGAGGTGAGGAGCGAGGCAGAGAGGATGTAGAGCGAGGAATTCTCTCGCCTTCGCTCGCGCAGCCTGTTGTCAATACAAAGAGAGATATAAGTTCCTCCAGAGAGACAGGGTCATCACGGACTGATAGTTCGTCTTTTAGAGTGTCAGTTAATCCCCGCCAGAAAACTCCCTTTAAAGCTGTGTCATTCCACCCAGATTCCTCAGCCAAGATTCGGAACTGAATGGAGTAGTCTGCCACACTCTTATTTCCCTGGTGGAGATCTAGAAGCCCCTTAGCAGCATTCGCCTCACAATCTGGGTGAGCAAAACCTCTTTTAAAATCCGCTAAAAATTCTGAATAACTGATGCTTTCAATGCCCCTGCCACCCAACATAGCTTCAGCCCAGTCAAGGGCTCTTCCACGTAACGACCCCGTAATAAAGGCTACCTTGGAATGGTCAGTTGAAAATGTCAAAGGCTGGCAAGTGAAAACAGTCATACACTGCAAGAGAAAACCTTTACTTTTACCCAGGTCCCCATTGTATATCTCAGGATGAGGAACTGGAGTTTCACGGGGAGGGTGTACAGCGGAGGCACCGGCAGGGGCAGCAGCAGAGGCAGCAATGGAAGTGGGGTTACTGGGTTGAGTGAGATTCTGGGCTGAGAGTTGATTTGAAAGGTGCTCCACCAACCTGGTTAAGTTTGAGACTTGGAGTCCGATATTTAGATTTGATTCCCTGAGATCCTGTAGTGACTTGCCAAGTAGATTTCCTTGGGTGGCAACGATCTTCTCCATCTCGTTGGGGTCTGCTGGATCCATTGTTTGGCCAGATCGTTCTGTTAAAGAATCACTGATCGGACCCAAATATGCAGAGGGAAAAAAAGTATTTTATTTGCAAAAATAGTCTTGGTGGGGGGATAGATTCCAGGGGAGGCAGGACGGGTCCGGGTTGGCTGCAGATGGGAGGTCTGTGGAGTAGTGATGTGACGTTCCGTGTCGAGTCTTCGAAGCGTGTGCCGAGTAGGGAGTTGGCGTTTCCGCGAAGCGCTTATCGAGGCTTGATTCATTTAGGGGAGGAACTGAAAATTATGACGTCCGAAGCCTCGCTGCCCGGCTGTACCACGTGACTGATTCAGGAAGTGGTTCGGGTTTTGCCGCGAGTTTTGACAGCAATATAAACTGCTCAGTCTTCATTCAAAATGTGAGTGTTTGATGGAGAGTTGCGATCAGTGAGAGTTTGGAAGTTTGGAGACAGTTTAAACTCACAAAAAAACAATTCTTATTTCTTAGGTAACAACCTGTGGTGTCGCCTGGATGACAGAGTCAGGCAGACACAAACACAAAATGTAATAGCAGACGCAAATATTGAGGTCCAACGGTACATGATGGAGCCAAATATTGGAAGGCTGGAGGACCCCCTTCAATACTGGGAGAGACAGAAATATGTCTATAGCCATTTATATAAATTAGCAGTGGCATTCTTGTGTACGCCTGCCTCATCTGTGCCCTGTGAGAGGGTGTTTTCGAAAGCAGAAGAAATATTGTCAAAAAAAAGAAATCGCCTGAGACCTGCCACAGTGGAGAAACTGTTGTTTTTAAATAAAAACCAATGATGTGTCCCCTGAACCATAATCACCCAACGTTACAAAAGCACAATCAATGTCCATACTCCAACCCCAACCACCCTCACCTCACTGTAAATGATCATTAGCTTTTTCATAATTTCCAAATAATAATTTTCCATACTGCCAGTATATATATATAAAAGTATTTATATTTATATATATACACACACAGTATACATCACTACAATATACATGTTTTGCATACTTCTTTACTTTGCTGACAGTTTTATTCACAGGCTTTCTGCAAAATGCAACACACTTCAAATTCATGTCAACTGATATTTTTTGCATCCAGTAGATGTCCTACTAGAGCAAATGAAGCTTCAGGAAGCTTTGCACCAGAGTGAACCAATTGGATGAAAGGCTTCAATGCTTCATGAAGCTTCATCTGCCCATCACTACTGTGGAGATGGAGGCTGACCGGAGGCTTACAGAGACTGGTGGCAACAGGATGAGGCTGGCTCCAAAACGGAAGAACTGGGGAACAGATGAAAGAAAACAGGTAAGAGTCAAAATCTTCAAAAATGCTCAAAAACACAAAAAGCCTGAGTTGTTCACCACTTGGTTGACGGAACGATCTGGCACTGGAGAGCAGGTCAGCAGGTCTTTTATTGCAGGAGATGATTACTTGACGAGGATCAGGAGTGGAGCTCAGCAGGTGAGATGATTTGGGGACCCGCCCAGGAAAAACCAAATAAGGTGAGAGAAGGGAAGAGGGAGCAGGGAAAGGAGGGGTAGGAGGGGCAGAAAGAAACCCTCACAGAAGCAGTAGTTTTCAAGTTAACAGCTCCCTTTAACTTTAGTTCAGTAGAGATCGGCCATTCCAGGGTGGAAATTATTCAAATGATAGTGAAGAAGTATGTAGTTAAAAACACAGTGGAGCACTTCCTGCATTACCACATGACATCACAAAGTGGAACAGAATGTTTTCTGTTAGAGAGAAAAACTCCCAAAAACACTTAAATATGCAGGGTTTGTGTGTTAACATGTTTGAATGAATAAAAACACACTCCAGGTATGTTTGTGAGGAGGAAACAACATTAAAACTTAGATGAGAAAATAAAGTAATATGGGTCCTTTAAGAAAAGAAGAGAAAATGCAAGGAGGACTTTATGGTATTACAGAGTGGTGTTCTCACTTACGTCCTGGTGCTGTGCTGTGGGGGCTGATCTGGAGACGGAGGCAAGAGCCAAGAACAGGAGCACAGAGCTGAACCTCATCTTCATCAACATCTCCAAAGTCCCGTCAAGTCCACCTGATCCAGAATGCTGCTCAGTCCTCTGATTGGGTCTAAAAGAAGACCTCACCAACCAATGGGACATCCCACACTCTCATACCTTCCTCCAAACCCTAGTTCTGTTTACCGGTATATCTTTAATTTGGTGGCATGGTGGCTGAGTGGCTAGCTCTCATGCTTCACAGCAAGAAGGTTCCGGGTTTCTGGCCTTTCTGTGTGGAGTTTGCATGTTCTTCCCATGTCTGGGCACTCTAGTTTCCCCCATCAGCCCAAAACATGCAACATAGGAAGGTAAAAATCCTCCAGCTAAAGTAGTCCTGACCAAGCCTAACAACAAGATCATGGAGATGGGTCCCCGGGCGCCCCATGTGCTGCCCACTGCTCCTGAAAGGATGGGTGAAATGCAGAGGACAATTTTTCAACAAGATTAATAAAGTACTACAAAACAAAACAAAACAAGATATGCCAAGGGCACATGTGGATTTTTAGGAAATATTTGCACAACTACTGCCAAAAACATGGACCTTTGATATTTGTTTCTCAATCGTTTCCCGTTAGCCTGAGTAAACTGTGGATTTTATGGTCAGACTATTGGCACACTTCACCAGTACATGTATGTGTGGACACCTGCATGCAGTGATGGAAAGAATACTTTGACAAGGTATTTAGTTAGAGAATACCGAATACCTGCATTAAAATGCATTTTGTAATGTATTTTAATACCTGTTCCAATCAGAGTACTGTATTTTGAATACTTACAATATTTTTACATTGAGTCACATTTAAATTATAGTGTAAAAACACAACATAGGATTCAAAAATGTTTATTTGTTTAGACTTAGACAAACGTTTTTGATCCACAAGGGAAATATTTGGACACAGTAGCTCACACAGCACAACATATTATAATAACAAGTACAACATAATGGTAATAATAAATTCTAAAGAAGTAGCAAAAAAGACAGCAAGAGAAAGGTGTCAAATAAGACATAATTATATAAATGTTTGTAAAAGTCCAAATGAAATAGAAAAATAAGTAATGCATTTGTTCTACATTTCCTATCACTAGTTAGAGGAGTTAACATCACACATCCACACACTGTGAGAGCACTGTTTTTTGTTTTGTCTATGTTTAGTTTGAATTGTGTGATCAAGTTCTGTAAAGTATTTCTTTCGATTTTAGAATATATCAGAATACAGTTACTCATAATTAATATTCAGATGATGTGATCTCTGTACTTATATTAAGTTACTTCAAAACAGTGAGGACTCTTCTACATGTGTGTGTGGACATGAGGAGACAGTTCACTTGTACATATGTGTGTGGGAAACTGAAGAAGTGACTGCACAAAGACTGGACTAAATCAAGAATAAACCAGGTTTAAACTGTGAATAGTACAACATCAGACCATGTAATTTAATATAACTTTATTCCAATTTATGGTCCATGAGCAGATATGAGTCTGAAAGTGATATTTATCATATTTATATTTATAGTCTCATATGTGCTCCCTTTGATTTCCTGACAGTCTTTTCAGCAAATTTGAATTAAAATAGATCATCTCATCACCTCCTCATGGGCCAAATGAGGCACCCGAAGGTCCAAATTTGGCCCCTCAGGCCAAATGGGCACCCCCACTTTAGAGACTGCATCTGTGGTTTATCTAGGACACTTAAACGCAGCTATCAACAATGCTGTGAATTTGTTCTTGTGTTTCTTAAATTCTGGGTCGTCTGAGTCTGGATCCTTGCAGTTAGTCTTGTCTGGGTAAAAGCAAAAGATGAAACAGGATCAACAACTGGCCAAGATGTTTCTATTGTCAATGTTCAAAACATTAAGTGTGAGTGGATGCAGAGGATGGGGAGTAGATGGAGTGTAGAATTCACTGTGAATTTCTCTGAAGGAAACATTTTTACCATAATCTTTGTTGAAAAGAAAAGGGTTGGTCAGGTTTAGAGCCGAGGCTTTGATTTGGAAGTTCCTGAACTCAGTCATTGTCACTGACTCTCTGCGACCTGTGGGGAGAGTTTAAGCATTCCACATGTGAGTATGACTAAACCATGGACTACAAAAGATTTAAACCATAATTTAGGTATTTGAATCTAGATCAATATTCACTTCTAATCACCAATAATCAGCTTGGGGTTATCTGTTAATGTCACTGCTTAAATGTATTTGTGTTTATTATTTATAAGGGACAATACATATTAAAAACAAGAAAATAATTAAAGATGCTTTGTGTAACTTTTCTGGTGGAAGATCTGTCAGATGCTTTTCTCTGTGGAGATGTTATTGCTTTGTCTGGGATGTTTCACAGTATGGTATTAAAATATTTAACGTCATGGAGACCAAACCAGGCCAAGTTACAGGTCAGATCTGTCAGATCTATTCACAGTCAGAATGCCTGTTTTTCTTGGTATTTTATATCTAGAAAACCACCTGTATTTGAATAAATGTAATGTAAGAACTGTTGAATGCTATAATGTGGAACATTCCAGGCAGAGCAATGACATATCCATAGAAACAAGCAGGTGACAGATCCCCAACCAAAAAGTTACAATAGTACATCTTTAATATTAAAAGCAATGTGATTTAGTTTAAAAAATAAAATCAGTCAGTGAAGAAAAACAGGTACTGTAAATAGACAGAAAGTATTCAAGATGATGTAAGAGGTCTAAACCAGGACTTACTGACGAGAATGAGCATGGAATTGTCACCTGCGCCCACAATGGCACAGTCAGAGCAGTACGTCTGAGGCTGAATATTCACATCACCACCTGCAAGCATACAGTGCAGTTTAAGTGAAAGACAATTTCATCTTCATGTCAAAAGAATAAAAAATGTTTTATGTTTAGAATCGGAATAATTAGGTCAAACATCCATGCAAAATGTACGATGAAGTAAATAAAAGCCCAAAACAATGTTTAAAACCTCCTAAGGTTTAAACCTCTTTGTTTCTGAGATCTAATGAGATCTCAGAAGCTAAGCAGAGGTGGGCCTGGGTAGCACTTGGATGGGAGATCTCTGGGAAAATCAGGTGCCACAGTGGGGCACCAGTGGCAAAAACTGTTGTGATGGTGTCCTTGGGCAAGATACTTCACCCACGTTGCCTAGTGGTGTTAGTGTGCATGTTGGTGGTGGTTGGAGGGACTGATGGTGCAAATTGTCAGCCTCGAGTCCATCAGTCTGTCCCAGGGCAGCTGTGGTTACAATAGTAGCTTACCACCACCAAGTGTGGAATGAATAATGCACCAAATTTTAAAGTGACTTTGAGCATCTGGAAAAGCAATAATAATAATAATAATAACATAAAGCTGAATGATTTACTTGACTCATTTTCATTTTAATACTTAATAACAAATTTGATATCAGTCTGTCCAGCCTTAAAACCAAAATGACACACATACCTTCAGATATATTCGTAACCCTGTGATGATCTTTGCAAAATTCTGACCTGAAAAATATTTATGTTTACAAATGCATCATGTGTATGAAATTCAGGATTCAAATTTTGAGAATCTTTACATTTTGATTGTGCTATTGACTTCATAAATGTCCTTTTGGTCCATCGTTCTCACATCCATGACTACAGTCATCCACTGGAAAAGTGACATTGCTGGTGCAGCGATACAAGATTTAGTTGACATTGCTTGTAAGAACCAGTGTCCAGAGTACTTCAACAAACACACAAACAAAACAAATCAAAACAAAAGACATGACCAAAATCAAATCAGGACTAAGTTAAAACTGAATCACAGTAAGGACCAAGACCAGACTAGTGTATAGTCGGAGTACTAAAATTCATTCATTCATTCATCATTGGAGATTTTTGAGATTTTAGAGCCACACTGAGAAGAACCAATGTCCAAAACATGGAGCTTTGCATTTGCAGCAGCAAGCTGTGTTTCAAGTTCGAGTTGTTCCTTTTGTAAATTTTTCAATTTAGAGTTTTATTTTTTCCTCCTGTGCCTAAACTTCATGTTTTTTATTCAGAGCTGTGACACGTTCCTGTATTGTGCTCTGTTGGCTTTAAGGCGCATGGACACAGTGGAGGAGACGAGGTGACGGTTGAGAGCGCGTCTTTGATACGTTGGACTTTTCGAAGCACACATTTGAGGCACTGTCCTCTGGACCCAAGTATCCACATTTTGAACAAAATTAGTTAAAACTAAATTTGTTAACTAATTAACAAACTAAAATATTAAACTAATTTTAGAATAAACAAAATAAGCAAATAGCTACTACACTTTATAATTAATCTGTCTTCAAAGCTCAAAATGCTCTGTTCCACCTTTTGATGTCATGAAGCAGTAGTTTTCAAGTTAACAGCTCCCTTTAACTTTAGTTCAGTAGAGATCGGCCATTCCAGGGTGGAAATTATTCAAATGATAGTGAAGAAGTATGTAGTTTAAAAACACAGTGGAGCACTTCCTGCATTACCACATGATATCACAAAGTGGAACAGAATGTTTTCTGTTTGAGAGAAAAAAAAACAAAACACTTAAATATGCAGGGTTTGTGTGTTAACATGTTTGAATGAATAAAAACACACTCCAGGTATGTTTGTGATGAGGAAACAACATTAAAACTTAGATGAGAAAATAGAGTAATATGGGTCCTTTAAGAAAAGAAGAGAAAATGCAAGGAGGACTTTATGGTATTACAGAGTGGTGTTCTCACTTACGTCCTGGTGCTGTGCTGTGGGGGCTGATCTGGAGACGGAGGCAAGAGCCAAGAACAGGAGCACAGAGCTGAACCTCATCTTCATCAACATCTCCAAAGTCCCGTCAAGTCCACCTGATCCAGAATGCTGCTCAGTCCTCTGATCGGGTCTAAAAGAAGACCTCACCAACCAATCACTGTCGCCCGTGTGGGACATCCCACACTCTCATACCTTCCTCCAAACCCTAGTTCTGTTTACCAGTATATCTTTAATTTGGTGGCATGGTGGCTGAGTGGCTAGCTCTCATGCTTCACAGCAAGAAGGTTCCGGGTTCCTGGCCTTTCTGTGTGGAGTTTGCATGTTCTTCCCATGTCTGGGCACTCTAGTTTCCCCCATCAGCCCAAAACATGCAACATAGGAAGGTAAAAATCCCCCAGCTAAAGTAGTCCTGACCAAGCCTAACAACAAGATCGTGGAGATGGGTCCCCGGGCGCCCCATGTGCTGCCCACTGCTCCTGAAAGGATGGGTGAAATGCAGAGGACAATTTTTCAACAAGATGAATAAAGTATTACAAATAAATAAATAAATAAATAAATGCCGCCAAAGCCACATGTGGATTTATAGGAAATATTTGCACCTCTAGTGCCAAAAGTCTGGACCTTTGACATTTGTTTCTCAATCGTTTCCCGTTAGCCTGAGTAAACTGTGGATTTTATGGTCAGACTATTGGCACACTTCACCAGTACATGTATGTGTGGACACCTGCATGCAGTGATGGAAAGAATACTTTGACAAGGTATTTAGTTAGAGAATACCGAATACCTGCATTAAAATGCATTTTGTAATGTATTTTAATACCTGTTCCAATCAGAGTACTGTATTTTGAATACTTACAATATTTTTACATTGAGTCACATTTAAATTATAGTGTAAAAACACAACATAGGATTCAAAAATGTTTATTTGTTTAGACTTAAACAAACTTTTTTGATCCACAAGGGAAATATTTGGACACAGTCGCTCACACAGCACAACATATTATAATAACAAGTACAACATAATGGTAATAATAAATTCTAAAGAAGTAGCAAAAAAGACAGCAAGAGAGAGGTGTCAAATAAGACATAATTATATAAATGTTTGTAAAAGTCCAAATGAAATAGAAAAATAAGTAATGCATTTGTTATACATTTCCTATCACTAGTTAGAGGAGTTAACATCACACATCCACACACTGTGAGAGCACTGTTTTTTTTTTTTTTTTGTCTATGTTTAGTTTGAATTGTGTGATCAAGTTCTGTAAAGTATTTCTTTAGATTTTAGAATATATCAGAATACAGTTACTCAATTAATATTCAGATGATGTGATCTCTGTACTTATATTAAGTTACTTCAAAACAGTGAGGACTCTTCTACATGTGTGTGTGGACATGAGGAGACAGTTCACTTGTACATATGTGTGTGGGAAACTGAAGAAGTGACTGTACAAAGACTGGACTAAATCAAGAATAAACCAGGCTTAAACTGTGAATAGTACAACATCAGACCATGTAATTTAATATAACTTTATTCCAATTTATGGTCCATGAGCAGATATGAGTCTGAAAGTGATATTTATCAAAAGCCTAATTATTTTTTAGAAGCATAATCTGGTATGTGCTCCCTTTCTTTTCCTGACAGTCTTTTCAGCACAAAATTTAATTAAAATAGATCATCTCATCACCCCCTCATGGGCCAAATGAGACCACGTGAAGGTCCAAATTTGGCCCCCAGGTCCTGCTTTGGGCACCCCTGCTTTAGAGACTGCATCTGTGGTTTATCTATAGGACAATTAAACACAGCTGTCCAGAATGCTGCGTTTCTGTCCCTGTATTTCTGAATTTCTGGGTCGTCTGAGTCTGGATCCTTGCAGTTAGTCTTGTCTGGGCAAAAGCAAAAGATGAAACAGGATCAACAACTGGCCAAGATATTTCTTTTGTCAATGTTCAAAACAACATTAAGTGTGAGTGGATGCAGAGGATGGGGAGTAGATGGAGTGTAGGATTCACTGTGAATTTCTCTGAAGGAAACATTTTTACCATAATTTTTGTTCCAAAGGAAAGGGCCGGTCAGGTTTAGAGTCGAGGCTTGGATTTGGAAGTTCCTGAACTCAGTCATTGTCACTGACTCTCTGCGACCTGTGGGGAGAGTTTAAGCATTCCACATGTGAGTATGACTAAACCATGGACTACAAAAGATTTAAACCATAATTTAGGTATTTGAATCTAGATCAGTATTTAATTGTTAATCACCAATCATCAGCTTGGGGCTTTGTGTAGCTGCCGTCAGTGGCAACTGTCAGACATTTAAGTTCATGTTTTATAATATTCAATTATATTCATATTGATTTATAGTAAAATATGTTAAAAGCAATATATAGCATAAATAAGTAAATTTGTCTGTAATTCATGTTAATTAATTTCATTTTATTTTTGGTTGATTTGCTCCACTTCCAATTACATATTGTTTCAAGGGGAAGTTTTTATGGGTGCACTGCCTTAACTGAGAGACACACAAGCAACTGCACTCTGTCCTCTGAGGCAAAAACACATTTTTTTGTTTTAAGTTAAAAGTTTCACAAGGCATCAAGACTTTATTCCATTTGAGTGGATGTGGCCAATGAGGTACATTTTGTGTTATTTTATTGTGTAATTACTTTTCTGTCTGTGTTTTGTATCCAAGGGTTAATTTTAAGTTTTGTTTTTTCCTTTCTATAGTTCTGATGGCATGCGTCGGCATTAAGGTTCATTTACATGCGAAGACATGTGAAAGACTCCAGTCCGAATAAATGCTTGTTAAAACCAAAGAACGATTTTGAGCCTTGTTTAAACTCAAGGGGATTATCTCTTTGTGTCAGTAAAATGTAATTTGGAGTTTTTGTGTTAATGTCACTGCTTAAATGTATTTGTGTTTATTATATATAAGGGACAATACATATTAAAAACAAGAAAATAATTAAAGATGCTTTGTGTAACTTTTCTGGTGGAAGATCTGTCAGATGCTTTTCTCTGTGGAGATGTTATTGCTTTGTCTGGAATGTTTCACAGTATGGTATTAAAATATTTAATGTCATGGAGACCAAAGCAGACAAAGTTACAGGTCAGATCTGTGGAGAGGCAACCCTACTCACAGTCACAATGCCTGTTTTTCTTGGTATTTTTTATTTAGAAAACCACCTGCAATTGAATTAATGTAAGAACTGTTGAATGCTATAATGTGGAACATTCCAGGCAGAGCAATGACATATCCATAGAAACAAGCAGGTGACAGATCCCCAACCAAAAATTTACAATAGTGTCCTGAAGAGAATGAGCATGGAATTGTCATCTGTGACCAAAGTGGCACAGTCAGAGCAGTACGTCTGAGGCTGAATATTCACATCATGATCTGCAAGCATACAGTGCACTTTAAGTGAAAGACAATTTAATCTTCATGTCAAAAGAATAAAAAATGTTTCAGAAGAATTTATATAGTTAAGCCAAACATCCATATATAATGTACGATGAAGTAAATAAAAGCCTAAAGCAATAATGTTTAAAACTTCCTTATGGCCAAACCTCCTTGTTCCTTGTTTCTAAGATCTGATGAGATTTCAGAAGCCAAGCAGCACTGGGCCTGGGTAAAATTTGGATGGGAGATCTCTGGGAAAATCAGGTGCCACTGTGGGGCACCAGTGGCAAAAACTGTTGTGGTGGTTGGAGGGACTGATGGCTCAAATTGGCAGCCTCGCTTCCATTCCATCAGTCTGTCCCAGGGCAGCTGTGGCTACATGTTATGACCCCAGCTTAGTTCAGTATTTTGTGGGTGCATGTTTGTGCTGTTGTTGGCTCTCTCTTCCCCCCCTTCCAGATTCCAGAGAGTGGGAGGGCCAACCCAGTGAGCTGCACCTGATTGTGGGTGTTGCATACCACCTTTAAAAGCTGGCTGCTGGAGCCTGCCTTCTCTCTTCTCCACCATGTGGCCATAACTTAGCTTGCATCTTGTTTTTAAATAAATATCTGTTTCTGTATTGTTTTTAAACATGTGTGGACTCTCCCTTGTTTGAACCCTGAGCCAGTTCATAACAGTACAATAGTAGCTTACCACCACCAAGTGTGGAATGAATAATGCACCAAATTTTAAAGTGACTTTGAGCGTCTGCAAAAGCAATAAATAAGATTAATGCATCATGATATTATGATTATTAATGAATTTACTATGCTTATTTATTATTATTATTATTATTATTATCGTTATTATTATTATTATTATTATCATTATTATTATTATTATTATATAAAGCTGAATTATTTACTTGACTCATTTTCATTTTAATATTTAGAAACAAATTTGATATCAGTCTGTCCAGCCTTAAAACCAAAATAACACACATATCTTCAGATATATTCATAACTGTGTGATGATCACTGCAAAATTCTGACCTGAAAAATATTTATGTTTACAAATGCATCATGTGTATGAAATTCAGGATTCAAATTTTGAGAATCTTTACATTTTCATTGTGCCATTGACTTCATAAATGTCCTTTTGGTCAGTTGCTCTCACATCCATGACTAAAGTCATCCACTGGAAAAGTGACATCGTTGGTGCAGCGACACATGATTTAACTGACATTGTTTGTAAGAACCACCGTCCAGAGTACTTCAACAAACACACGACAAAACAAATCAAAACAAATCAGGACTAAGTTAAAACTGAACCACAGTAAGGACCAGGACCAGACTGGTGTATAGTCTGAGTACTAAAATGAAAAGAATGTTTTTATATAGAAGTTGGGACTACACTGTGAACAGAACAGTTATCTAAAATTTCTAGTTTGTTGCCATTGCATCAGAGGCATCTTTTTAAACAGACTCATGAGAACCTGAAATAGAAGAGCAATGTTAAAGAGGTGGCTCTTTATTTACATAGCAAATTCAACAAATTATATTAAATCTCAGATAAATGCATTTGTTGTTGTTTTTACAAACATAAAAAAGTACATTTGGGAACTTTACTTCAAGTTCATAGTACATAGTCATCGTTAGTAGTCACAACGGTATGGGGGATTTTTTTGCACTTATTACTTATTAAAGGTCCTATATTACATAAAATTTACTCTTGTGAGCTTTCAGTCTCCTCAAAAACATACCTGGAGTTGTGTTTTGTTTCATTCACACATGTTTCAGGAATCCTTAATGTAGTGACTATT